GCGCACACACACGCGCACACACTCACACGCACGCACACACACACACGCACACACACACACACACACACACACACACACACACACACACACATGCTCAAGGGCGCGCGCCTCCCATCGTTCCCAGGCTGACTTTGAGTCCCTCTTCGCATCACTGGAAGATTACATCGAGACCAGGCAAGACGGCTCGAACTCCGCCTCCCTGCAGAGCGCCATCACCAAGTTTAAGAGCTCAAAAAAGCTGACAGTGCGCCGCGCGGCCGGACTGGACATGCAGGTGGAGTCCAACATAGTCCAGGACTACGCCGCAGAGTGAGTGGCGCGCGGACGGGCTGATGGGATTTGCAGTCGGTGCTGCGGGGCGGCACCGGGCCTTCCCTCGCGGGCGGGCGGGCGGGGCGCTGGCGCCGCCAGCATACCGGGGCGTGGCAGCCGCCAGGAGGCCCGGCCCAGCCCGCGCTGCTCGCGAGCAGACGAAGTTGTGCCCGAACGCAGCCAGGCGGCCGCTGCCACGTACAGTCATGACATCAGAACGCCCCCACTCTCTTCAGCTCCCTGCTGCTACATACCTCTCACCTTAAACAACAAACGTCCGCCCCGCTACACCACAGCCCTGCCAAGCTCTCTCTGAACTGGTTTGACGACGACGACGAGATGGCGGGCGGCGACAGCATAGTCGCCCAGGGCTACTCCGCCGTCGTCGATTACCTCGTGGGCGTCGTGAAGTCCAAGGGAGGCAAGATCGCGCTGGGGGCACCCGTGACCGCCATCACCTACAACAGCGGCGGCGTGACGGTGCGCGTTGCGCCGCGCTGCGCCGCGCCCCGTTACTCCGCTCTTGTGGTCGCCGCGGCTGCATTGCTCGCTGGGCTCCCCCAGCGCGCCGCCCGGTTGTATCTGCGTTCGTTTCTACCTCCAGCAGAGCTTGAGAATGCGGACCCACACCCAGGTCTGCCTCGTGCAGCGCGCCGATGGGGCGAGTCGACACAGAGGGACGCTGCCGCAACAGCAGCCCCACATCGCCCGCGATCTGGCAGCTCACCCTCGCACGCCCTCGCACCGCCACGTTCCTCGCGTTGCTTGCACCGCAAATTGGGGCGGAGGTCACCGCCGGCGGCACGGAATACGCCGCGCCCTTTGCCATCGTCACCCTGCCCCTGGGCGTCCTCAAGGCAAAGACCGTGAAGTTCACACCCAAGCTGCCCGGCGCAAAGGCAAACGCAATCGCCAAGCTGGGGATGGGGACGCTCAACAAAGTGGTCCTCCAGTTCCCGCCCGCGTCGTCCTGGCCGGACGGCAACTGGTTCGAACGCATGCCCCTGCAGGTGAGCTGGCAGGGCTGCGGCTCGCCGCTTTGCGCCGGTCCGACCCCGCACGTGATCCTGGGCGTGCGCAAGGCCCGCCGCCGGCGTGGAGCGAGGGCGGCTTGCCTTGACCTGGCTGCCTTTTCACAGCAGCAGCAGGGCGTTCCAGCCAAACGACGGCGGTGGTCCCCAGCTGTGACCTTTCCAGCCTCAACGTGCTCCTGCAGTCGCCATCAATTGCTGTTGATCCAGCTACCAGTTGCAAAGTCCAAGCCCTGAGCCCAACTCTGTTACAAAAACCTCAACCGCCAGTCTGACAAGGGCAGGTGGCGCGAGTTCTTCTCCCTCCGCACCATCACCCGCGCGGCCGGCGCCGAGCAGCCGATCATCGTCGCGTTCAACGCGGGTGCGCGCATGCGC